AAAGTCGCAAGTTTTGCCTTCCCTCAGACATGCGCGCGTTTGTTTTGTGCGTGACCACCCCGCGCATTAGGCCGGTTAAGATTCTCGCGCATATCCTTTGTTCCTCTCCTCTTGCGTTCTCGCGCGTTCAGCAATGAGACCCAGTCGTGTTTTCAGTCCTTTGGCTTAAAGCTTACTTGAAAGGTTCAAGTTTTTACCCTCTCTGTAAACGTCCGCGCGTGTGTTTCACTCGCGACCATTCTCGCATTAGACAGAGCATGGGTATAAGATTCTCGGGCGTTGTGTTTTTCCCTCTCATCGGGCGTCCTCGCCCGTTCAGCCAAGTGACCCACTCGTGTTTTCGGTCTCGTGATCTCTTAGACATGTAGGAGCTCATTTGCCACTTTTAAGGTTTTGCATTCCCAGCTATACCTAGTTCATTTAGAACATGACGTTTGTGTTGTGCCCTTTTTTGATAAATTTTGGCTATGTTTGTATCCAGAAAGCCCATATAGACGCTAAAGCTTTTTTTAAAAGGTGCAAGTTTTGGCTTACCCTTGTGTTTCACGCGTAACTATCTTTCAAATTACACAGAATGTAGCTTTGAGATTCTCGTGCGTTCTCTTTTATCATCTCCTGTCGGGTCCTCGGGCATTCAGCGAAGTTACCCACTTGTGTTTCAGCTCCCCAGAACTCTGAGACATGTAGGAAACTATTTCCCCTCTTTTCACATTTTGTAATCCCAGCTATAATTAGCGTGTATTTTACGTTCGTTTAGAACATGACGTTTGTTTCCTGACTTTGTTGATGAATTTTGGCGGTCTTTTCTGTCTAGGAAGCCCATAGAGGGCTTAAAGCTTATTTAAAAGTCGCAAGTTTTGCCTTCCCTCAAACATGAGCGCGTGTGTTTCACGCGTGACCACCTCGCGTATTATACAGGGCGTGGGGTTAAGATTCTCGCGCGTGCCACTTTTTCCTCTCCTCTTGCGTCCTCGCGCGTTCAGCAATGTGACCCAGTCGTATTTTCAGTTCTTTAGCTTCAACTAGCTTAAGTTCAAGTTTTGACCCTCTCTGAAACGTCCGCGCGTGTGTTTCAAGCGCGACCATTCTCGCACTAGACAGAGCTTGGGTACAAGAATCTCGGGCGTTGTGTTTTTCCCCCTCGTCGGGCGTCCTTGCGCGTTCAGCTAAGTGACCCACTCGTGTTTTCCGTCTCGTGATCTCTTAGACATATAGGAACTCATTTCCCACTTTTAAGACTTTGCAGTCCCAGCTATAGCTAGTTCATTTAGAACATGACGTTTGTGTTGTGCCCTTTTTGATAAATTTTGGCCGTCTTTTGTCTCCAGAAATTCCATATTGAGGCTAAAGCTTATTTAAACAGTGCAAGTTTTGGCTTACTCGCAGACATCCACGCGTGTGTTTCTCGCGTAACCATCTCTCGAATTACACAGAATGTAGGTTTAAGATTCTCATTCGTTCTGTTTTATCCTCTCCTGTCGGGTCCTTGTGCGTTCAGCTAATTGACAATGGCATAATAAGCTCAGTAAACATCACGTCACAATATTATTTTATCCAATTTTCGCGATGTAAACATGTCATTTGTTGAACAAACATGTTGCAGCATAGCCTAAATGCCGGACAAAACGTCCATTCCTTCCATATAGGCGGTGAATTGCTCGTAACCCAGATCTGCTTGTCTTGAATAGCTGCTAAAACCACTTTAACCTCACTGTAATTTTGTACCTTTGGACAACTAGGAAATAAATTTGGCAAGGTAAACCAACGTTTGTTTTCCCTTTATTAAGTTAATATTTGCGTTCAAAGGACTTCTCAACTGCAAAAGTATGCCTAGACAGTGTGAATTTGCATAAGCAGCTGCACAAGTCAAA